AATTTACTGTCCTGTTTTACCGAGGTTAATTTGGAAACTGCAAAACCTACATGAACTTTACCTACCGTGTGATTTTCTCACTCACTGATCACGGTTTGTGAATGAAAAAGCGAATGTCCACCAACAAACGTACGTAAATTAACATCAACCGCTGTTAGACTTGGAGCAGTTCAAATTAACGCAAATTGTCTGATGAACATTTTTACTTATGATTACAAGTTTTGCATTTTATGTAACACGGTACTATGCTGGCTAGACTCTAACTCTGAGTGAATGTGAAACTGGCTATAGATGTTGAGATTTAATGTGGATTGACTGACATGTGTAAAACGAAACACTTGTAATTTAGGTTAAACGAACCTACACCTTTCCCAGCAATCTATCCCCTTCTCAGTAGATGAGACGAAAAAATATGCACACTGAAGAAAGTTGATCAGTCAACGAAATTGGGGTGCAGATTGTTTCTCTCTGTCCCCGATTCAATGTAGACATAGTGATTGCACTTACGCGTCCAATTTAAAAAAACCAGACAAACACGCCTACGTAAAATGAGGTCGTATTGACAAATACTACCATACCTTCTAATAGATACGTTAGCAGATGGCTTGAATCAGCAATGCATTGGGAGTATCAGATTGCTTATCCTATTCCTTTGGCCAATAAATTTGTGTCTTTTGAGCTTTAGTTTGAAATTTTGGGGTAAACAGGATGTCCATACACGCTTCTATGCAATCGAGAAACACCCGACTCGATTTTTGTGCTTAGTAGGCATTATGATTTGTGCGTTTGAGTCAAAGCACCAAACCAAGTACCGATAAGTCACTAAGAGACAGACACCAATACATTATTCGTGCATAGATTAGTTAACTGGACCAGACTATTTGTATAGACCGAGTAACAGAAAGTACTAAAAACTAGAATTGGATGTATTAGTTCTGTAGTCTCATATAACTTATATCAATCATTTTCTTAAATGCGTGTGAAAATATGGTCGGGTTTTCTATCGTTCCGAACGTCACTTATTTTGAAATGATAAAATAGTTGTCTTGAATTCTGAAAGAAGTAGGTCCTGTGTTTGATAATACAGGGATCTCATTCTTACTGCGTGAATTCAGAATACTTGCAGATGCTACTGACCTGTTTGTTCGGAATGAAGCGCATGTTTTAATTGGATTTTTTAGAAGTCGCAAAAGAGAATAAACTTATGAGCTCATCATGATGTCACCTGTGGCTGAGTCACATTATACCTGTAGATTTGTCGGAAACCCGTCACAGCAATTAAAGCTACAGGAGTAGTTCCGACCTCATCAGATGTTTACAACTCAGCAATGATTATCTATGGAAAAACTATACATTAGAGGTTTCACGGAAGAAGACTGACCGATCCGAACGCTAATGATAGTAAAAGAGGTGTAACGGTGAGGTAAACTGACGACAACGTAATTAAAAACGCAAAACCGGATTTGGCGTTCTGATGTCGCAAACTAACAGACTATCGGAATTCAATACCTGAAATCATTTAAACAGTGTTTATTTATCTCACTCAGTTGTTTATAATTTTATAACATATCTTAGATTTTAGGTTTTGTGCGACAACGGAAACGTAATCTCAAGCCACGAATTTAGCAATCATTAAAACTATTGCGATCAGCAATATTCAAATAAAATTTTATACCTCAACTCAAATCCTCGTCATATATTCAGCTAACCTGTTTACAAATCACTAAAGGGTCACCATGTATATACAATGAGCATATTTTTCCTATACTTTACTACTCTGCAGCTTCGATATTTCTCGGCATTTCATAGAACCAAAAGATTTATCTTGAATTGGTGACGATTTTGCAATCAAAGCAGATGGAAATGGTAACAGAGAAGATATTTCTACATGCATGGCAGACCATTTTCCACATAATACAGTCAGATTCGGGAACAATTACTTGATCATAATACTGATGGTGGACACCTTCAGATCAGTTCTATCGTGGTCAATAAACACCTGCGTTAGGTATTTGATTTTTTCTATTTTATTTGTAATTCTTTTAATCGCTGTATTGAACCTATAATGGTACAAACAATTTTCAGGAAATGGTAAAGAACAATGCCAATAGCTGTCGTGTGTTTGTGGGGGTTGAACACGTAAACACTGGGGAGATAAGTTATTGAACTTAATGGTGTGGCATTGTATGTTGGTTCACCCCTCTCCCACCAGAAGTTATTCAGCAGGGTCACTTAACACGAATTTAGGGCTGATTTAAGGGTTGTGTTCCATTCATGTGTTTCCGTTTAGGGTACAAAGCCAATTCATGATTCTGAATGCTCCCACCAAGTTTGCATCGGCGTATGTTGCCTCTGTGAACAGGCATCATTCATTTGCCCAAAATCAATCATATCCCAGTCAGGATCTAAATACGCAAGTAGTAATTAGAATACAGTTAGAATACAATCGTACATTGAAAAAGGCTTTTCACGAATGCCGAAATTTACTCAACATCACTACGTGTTTTGACTATGTTGTCCTCATAAATGTGAATAGGAAACTCTTGTGATTTAAAACTATGGAGATGACACCCCATCAAATAGAGTTGCTTTATTCCATCCGAGGTCCGCCAATCAATAAACTCAAACTCCTTTTTGTATTCGGTGCATCTGGAATATCAAGGCACCGCGCCCTGATGGGTGTAAAATGGAATGTAGTTTTGTTTTCATTCTGTTGTATTCGTCTATAGAAATTTTTGCTTTATCCCTCTAGATTAGGTTAGGGACATCCCATCTATGGAGGAAACACAATAATAGTGATAATCCGTCTTTCTTAGGGGTCATTTTTCTATAGGTAAAACATAAACTAGGAAGTTTTAAAATACGTATACCCTCCACCATATGTTCGCGACGTTGCTTAGAGTTCATGAAATACATTTTTCTCCATCCACGCACAACTCATTCTCCGGGTGTAGCTCTTCTGCCCTCCTTTGTAGACAGAATCTAATGTGACTCGTGGTGGGGTGAGTTCAGGCAGTGAAGTGAAATTCAATTCACGCCCAAATCCCCTGACCACTGAGACAGTGTAATTTCAATCGGCGAAAATCGTTTTGGGGTGTGTCCCCGTGTACATGTGTGGGTTTGTCCGCATCAGCAAACGCGCAACGGTAGAGTTCATTTGTCGCAAACCAGCCAGCTATTGCCCATGACCAGGTATAAATGTCTGTCTGTTTATCGGGTACGCCGAGTACATTGTTAATAGCATCTTGATTGGTCCGTGGAACAACAGCAGAAGCGCGGAGTGGCGTAGTTCTGATAGCTGAAAAGCGGTTGATGACAATCAATTTGTGGTAACACGAAAAAGTACAATGAAGTGAGTAGATCGGATTATGAATATATATCCTTGTATAAAAGTACACATGCTTCCATTTGCCTTATTTCATCTACTCGTTTTTCTATCCCGGGCCCATTTGTATTTTACCATGATATAATAATTGTTTGTGCTGTTCCTGCAACATATTCGTTTATGTAAAGGGCACAGTATTTGCATTGTTTCATGTAAAGTAGCACTTCCTTTCAGTCGAGCATCGACGAAACGCCTATAACAAATGCATATATCGATATGTATCTTTGAACAAAGATACATAACACTGCAAGCGAGCACCATTCCATTCCGAAATCATTTTGCTGCATACATATATATATATGTGTGTGCACATGCATGAATACGCATTTGTATATATTTGATATAAGAGTCCATTAGGATGAGTTCCATAAGTATATCATAAAATAACGCGACAGAATACACTCACTTTTGGACTTCAGTGATACGAGTTTGGGAATGGAATGAATTTTAGTTCGAATATTCAGGTGATATTTGGACGCATTCAAAGGTCTATCGAATTCATCAACTTTTTCAAAACGTACTATTTTATGAGAAACAGCAGAAAGGATAATCTCTTTTTCACGAGGATCTATTTATGTGAAAGTACAGCTGTTTAATTTGGATTTCCAGTAGCAGCTTATGAGTCGATGCACTAATGACCTTCGTTCCGTTACCGCTAGATTTCTCCCCGTAAGAGTAGTAACAGTCATCGAAATGTCGCTCAAAGTCAGCAGATTAAGTCCCGTTTGACTTCAGTATTTTGATAACATAGTTGTTCAAATGCTGTGAATATAAATAACTATAGTTTGGTAAAATGAAATGCGTGCATCACTGCAGAAGAAATTACACAGTGGAAAATACTTTAGAACCAGCGCAAATCAACCCTAAATTGTTCCTTTCCAGTGATAGAACCGTGAACGATTAGGGGAAGTTCGTTCCGTAATATCAAGGCATCTAATGCACATAGTCTCCAAACAGTCTTCCGTGTTATGTGTATCACGTTAGGATTGCAGGATGAACCACTTTCTAAACACTTTTTCCATTTGCTCGCAGAGAGTGGCAATCGATTTAGTGGTTATTTATTTACCACAATGCTCCTCTCAAACGTAGTTCAACCGGTGATATAAACCGTTAAGTGAACCCCATTTCCGAGGCACAGGATCTTTGTTTATAGGGTGTCCATGTATTTGAATTTCTGCTGGAGAACCGTTATTATTTTTTTCATCACAGATTTTGACTTAATTCTGTACCTACTGGAAGATGTTTATCAGAAAAATATAAACAATTATGGCAGAAAATCAAAACAGCATTCATTCTCTTAGGCGTATGTATTGATGACTCGTGTTATTTGTATGTTCAGTGTCAATTGGGAGGAGCATATTATGTTCAACGTGAATTGATTAACAGTTATGGAAGGAACTCTTAAAATGTGACCTCATTATATGATTAGTGATAAGAATACGCTAGGGAGATCATTTTGACTCGATGTGCATAGATCAATGCACTTGGTAGACAGTGTGTATCGTGCCTATATCAAGCCCCCCCCCCCATTGGTGCTGAGTTCGGGTCTAGATAGATGCATACCTCCCATCTTCTCATAAACAGAGGTGAACCAAATCTAAGCTGGTACATCGGAATGCGTCATGTTAAATTAAGGTCGGTCTGTACGATTTCTCATGTTCTGCACACCTTTCGTTTCAGTGAGACACAAGTCAGAACACTGTTCCACTGCATCGATAAGAATGGGGATGGAAGTATCACGGAGAAAGAACTACGAGCCTATTTTCGAAAACATTTCCCGGATATGCAAAAAGGAGAGTTGAAAGAATACGTTGATCAATTGGACGCTGATGGGAACGGAAAAATCACTTTGGAAGAATTGAAACGAGTTCTCACGAAGCGGGGTTTATGATTTGGTGGAAACGTTTTTAATGTATATCATTGTGTTCCGTACATTTATGCATTGATGACTATACTTGTGCTTACTGAGAGGGAGGGTATTGATTTCAAAATGGATTTTGATCTTCATGGGATCAAAGAGAAAAAATATGAATAAAAGATGGAACAACTTGACTCGCACAAATTTTGCAAATAGATTTTATTCATCATGAATGTTGGGCACGTGCTTTCACAGCCGAACGAAAATCCGCTATTTCAGGGTGCGTTCACTGACTAATACCAAAATGCATTCATATGATACAGTATTTATCATTTCTATCTAGAGACGGTAAAGGCGTGTGCATCCCATAACTAGCGCACATAGATCAGCACGTTTTGAGGTTGCAAACTCAAAACTGCCTCTACTCACCCCAAATATTTTCGAAGCCTAATGATACGCTTCGCTCCGAGTACTGGAGTAAGTAGTAGTCTTTCACAACGATGCGTTCCACGTGCAGTAGTGTCCACTACAGCAATGAGCTAGATATGGTCATTCGCCTAAGCAGTTTCTAAAAAATTCCTATCAAATTAATCTGATGGAATTCCTAAACCGTTCAAAAATAACGGCATTCGCACCATTGATTTTTATTGGCGTAAATCAACAAACATGTGTCTGTGATCCAAACAATAACTTCATGCCGTTACGTTCCGAGTTGACCACAGATCGTATAGCTCAGGAGAGCCATGACAGCTTTCATCCAAAGGAGACTCGTGATTCCAATTATGGCATAGGTGCATAACATAATGCATTGTTAACAATTCCCGATAGCCTCCAAAATAATTATCTAAAATTAACTGTTGGCTTCAAAATTGTTAAATTTCTAATGTTGAGGAAACTTTGGAGACACATTTTACCACGACAATTCATGTCTCATCAAGTTTTGTCCTAAATTTGTAGATGCACCCGGCAATATTCAAGACCAATATCACTCTTGTGATATGTTGCAGTAAATTGGAAACAAATAGCAGCGGTTCATGTGGGAAGAACACATCTCGGATACTCTGGAAGCAAAAGAATCAAATGTTTATTGTTTATTTCACGAGAATGAGCCTTGGGCAAAAAATGAAAGTTTTGAATTAAATGAATTTGCAATTAGTGCGGAGAACATGACTGGAAATGACCGAACAAACTACCGGCTGTCTGAAATTAGGTGTGATAGGCACGTTGGAGCACAGCAACTCATAAAATCCTGTATTTTGGCATTTTTAAGTTTTTATATGGAAAGCGTACCGTTGTCTCTCGCTAATGATATAGTCGTTTTCTTCCTAGAGTTTTTTCGAATAGGGACAAATTTGTATGTGTTAAAAAACCGCAGCTAACGGCTAAATTTCACCCGCTGGAAAAGAAGATAACCAATACGTATCTGAAAAGAGAAAAATGTGGAGAAAAGTGATACCATCAGCAATACAATAACACGTATTGGAATACAAAATAGCAAACTGATGAAATACTGTCCATCGAGAATCAGTGATAGAGAAGGCCGGTTGGTGGAAAAATGTGTATTGAGCGATTTCCAAGTCAGATAAAGCAAACATCCAATTATCCGTACTCGGCCCTAAGTGCATAACAGGTGGAGGCGTGAATCATGTTGTTTAATAATCACTTATACTACTCTTGTAATTCCTCAAGGAAATACCGGAATGAAAAAAACCGCCTATTCGGAAGAACGATATCATGATATATTAATTGGCTCACACAGCCCAAAACATTTCATCTGGAAACAGACTGATTGTAATTTCGATAAGAACGCAGAATACTTAACGGAACAATCCGACAGTTGATGTGCATTTTGTTTGGTTACAAGTTCGAGTACGCTGGTTTTCTCCAATAGGTTTGGTTCACTTTTGGCTGTTGTGAGAAACCGCTAACCACACTCTTTTACGCTCTCCAAATATACTACTCATAATTGTGAGTTGTACCTCACAATACTACTAGATGGCTCATTCAATGGGTTCTGTAATTAGTCCGATTGATTGCTCTCTTCCTCCGTTCATCGGCTCTTGCCGAAAATGAAATAACCATTGCTCAGTGACCAACAAGATTATAGACGTCTCTTTGGGCAATTCATTTGTTCAACCATTATCTTTAGAAAAGAGAGAGACACTTTTATGGCAGATGAGTTTTCAAGTTATTTCATTTTTTATAGGGAGCATTTTTATTCCACACCATACTGTATTCCTCTACTCGCAAACCAACGGAAATGGTGCACTAAATACTGACCTGTAATGGTCTTGCCTGTACACTTTGTTGTTGGTGGGGCCGAGTTACCTGCTTAGTCACATCGTCGTTTAAGCTATGGTAGAAATATAAGGATTTGACTTACCACTACTGCAACGGTAATCAATTCCTTTCCAAATACAGCAGAAACCTGCCTGAATAGTTCATGTAGAGTCTAATCACCTTTCCCCATTATGACAATTTTTAAACAGAGTTTACAACCGTCAACACTAAAGGCTCTTCGTACTGGCGGAATTATAAATCCTTGAATCGGTGTTTTCAACTTACAATCTGTGTAGTCCGCGCAGTTTTAAAAATCACGGGGAGCTGAAAATGTTTCAAATTAGTCGGTCGTGATCAGTGTCGACTAAGAGATCGGTTAGCTCCAGGAAGCTCCTAACGGCATGCAGCGTTCTGACCCGTTTTCATTTTGAATGCATAAAAGAAACCTAGCCAACTTCACGAATTCGACTGGAAAACAGTCACTAATATCTTGTTAGGTGAAATAACATTTTCAAATTATCTTCATTATCTGGCTTTGCTACTTTGCGTCTCCTTAGCAATCCTGACCAAAATGATTGATTGCATATCGGAGAGCTTAGATTCCCCGGTGAATTGCTTTTAACTGTGACAGAGGATTTTCAATAATTCTATGTCCTCCGTTGCCATGTTATCATTTCTTTATCACTGTAAATAGTCTATCCAATTTAACTCATGAATATTTAATCATCATTGATCTTACAATGTGAGGGCAGTGAGATTGACCAGCCGAAAGGTCATCACAGAACAATTATTTACAAATTTGTGGGAGATACTATTTTGACCGGAACGAATGATAAAACCGAAATGGTGATGAAATGTAATTAAAATCGGTGAAGCTCAGAGTAGTTGAACATTTATGTTAAAGTTAGAAAATGTTACGGGAAAAGTGACAAAAAACACATCACCCTTGTTTCCTCCTCCTGCTCAATACTGCTTACTGTTTTGGCATCTCTGCCAGTACAAACTACCAACGAATTGCAAGGTTGAACCAGAACTTTAGTTCCCTTTTGCTAGTCCTAACCGAAAACTTTCGTCGGTGATTTAATGCATTCATCAAGAGAGAATTCAACAATCTCCCAACAAATGAAACTCAAAATCAAAGTAGGAATACCTTAAAAATTACTTTGTTCATACAAAACCACATAGATAATTCCTACGAGCACACTTATTTACAGCACTACTTCACATACTAATAGTGGTGACGACTATGAAAGCAACTTTGTCTGAGTAAATCTCAAATCATAAAAAATAGGAACCCAGTCAAAATGGAACTGGTACCAAACGAATAAACACAACACATGATATCAACGTCGACAGCGCACGTTGTGCTGCGTTCCGGGTGCTAACTATCAACTGTTCATGGAGAGCGTAAAGCGAGAGTACAGGCAAGGAAAATGTATACACCCTTGGTGAGTAACAAACGAGCAGGAATAATTTTTTACTGTTCCTTACCTGCCTTCATCTAAAGTTCTGAAAACGACTTCTCTAAGAGTAGTAAATTTGGAATAATCCATGTAATTCGCCACAGGCACCTCAAGCACTGTTGATTTTCTGGGGTGTGAGTTTTTCCTCCTTGGTAGGTCGGTAATTCCTCACTGATTCAATGCGCTTGTCGGCAATGCAAAGCTTTGCGATGAACGATAAATAACTCAGGACAGCTAGTTCTTCCTGCTGGGGACTCATCAGCAGTTCATACTTTTTTGTGTCCCTGTCAGGACTCGAAGTCTTTGCGTCTCTTTTTTAAACGCATTGAACTAATGGGACATTACCTATATTTCGAGGAGTAAAACCCACACCCATTACCAGTACCTTGTGCCTGTAAACATTTGAATGGATTATTCCAAATTTACAACTCTTAACTACTTAAACCATTTGCCCAAGGCTTTGGCAGTCGACCGTGTAGCTCAGGGTTTGCGGTCGCGGTTCAAGTCATAACAGAGACACATAAAGTATGCACTGCTGACAAGTCCCAAACAAGAGAAAACAATTGTCCAGGGTTTTTTTCGGTCGGCACAAATCTTCTCATCGCTTATAAAGACTTCTACCTTTCGTAATCTACTCATTGTTCGTTGTGAATAGTTCTACTTGTGTCTAGACTGCTAACTTGACAGGATTATTCTTTTGGTTCTAGTAACTTACGAGCTTTGTTCAATTTCAGCCCTGTTAATAGAAATTCCGGTCACAAATGCAGACTGGACGAACTGAGGGTTGTGTGAAGNTGTGTGAAGGTGAAGTGAGGAAAAAGGTTGACTCAAATCATTATCAGCTATCCCACGCCACTAATCATAAGCAACTGAGTAGATGTGAATTGAAAATTCAGTCTAGTCGAGTTGTGGCAAGCAATACCTAAACTGCATGAAAGACGTGATTTGGTGAGAGGCTTTTGATTGGGGTTAACAGATAGTTTGGCATGCCTCCCATCGTTGCTATCAGATCAAAGTGAAATGACTGTCTGCCATTGAAGAAGACACCTAAACACACTTCAATTTGCGGTTCTCGTTAGTCACAATGTGAGCTGGTTGACATTGTGGTAACAGGGCTTCCATGCGATGTGTCTCGAGTTTGAATCTCGGATTATGTGGANAACAAGGTATTCCTCTAGGCCATGGCTGAGTGGATGAACCGAAAATTGTGCATGAAGGTGAAGTCTGAGAGATGATTAGTCAAAATCAATGAAATAAAATTGTTCTGTTTGTTTCCTATCCAATATTGAA